CAAATGTCAATTATTGTTAAGCTTTAAAGCAGGAGAGGGAGGAATTTCCCCCACTTCTAACCAGAACAAACCTTCGATTGTGTTGGAAGGAGAAGCAGAAAAGTGGGCTAAGGGTGAAGACAGATTGTTGAGACATAAAATTAAGTGAACATGTTGCACATGCAGACGACAAAGCAGTATTAGGTGCAGGTTAATGAAACATTCAAGATAGAGGAGCTCATGGCAGAGACATTTAACACATTTCAACACATTTTTCTTACAGTACATAGTGAAAGTATCAATGATAATTCTGAGGAAACTTCCAAGTCCATGATGTTCCACATCCTTGTACCTGGATGTCCAGAACCTCTACTTGAGTGACCAGCCATTCTCTTTAATTTTCACTGGATAGCCCAAAGGTTTAAAAATGACAGATTGAATCCAGGAGGCAATCAAGGTATTATAAATATCCCTCTCCAACTTCTTCCATGGCTTAGTTCTATAAAAATTAAATTTTATAGACTTAACTTTATGCACGGTAGTCAGTCATCATTCTAATTTGTTTTCAAAATTTGGACCAAGCAAGATGTAAAGACATAAAGCAAAGTAATTGTATTTACTGAAGAAAGAAATCTCAACTTGAGAATGGAAACCTGAATCTAAAAAAAAATAAAAATAAATAAATTAAAAATCTAAGTTATAAACACAGCATTATAAATATCTGTATCATTCTATTCTGTTGGAATCTGGCATTAAAAAAAAAAAGCAAACCAAAAAACCAACAAACCCACAAACACCACTCGCAAGAGACCCCAAGCTTTAGATAGCATTTCTGTAAGCACATGAAGAACCATATAGATGCCCCTGTTCTTGCACTAAGTCAAGAATAAGACTATTGGGCAATTGTCTTTATAAAATATAACATGGAGTACAGCAGCATATTTTCTTTGAAAATATTAGGACACCAAAGGGAACCATAGAAACTGGAAGAATATGTCTTATAGTCTTTACCATAAAAAGCACCAAACAAAAAAACCCCACAGCCTTTCATTACAAAAACTATCCAAGGGTAATATAACGGCCTTTGAATCTAAAGGGGGGGGGGAAGACACTTCAGCCTGAGTTACAGAAAGTAACACATTATTTCATATGCTTAGCTTTTTTTTTTCGTTCTTAGAAAGAGTTAAATAAAAAAACCAAGCTAATTAATACTCAAACTGGGTTTGGTCTTCATTCATCCCCATAATCGAGAAGAACTGCTTTTCAAAGTAAAACTCGTATACTGATAAGCACACATAAGCATGGTGAGAAGTGCCTGGAAAATGGTGACAAAAATGGAACTGCCCAATCAGGCAGCCATACTGTGCTAAATCAGTGACTCACAGGAAATAACTACTGTATTTCAAGAGAAGTCTAAACATTACAATTTAAATGAAACAGTAATCAAGGGAGTCAAAATCTTTATCTGTTCTACACTGTTACCCCAACCAATGGGGCAGGGCTTGCCTACATTCATTTAACAAGACAGAGCCTTTCTTCTCCTGCAAACATCTTTTACAAGAATGACCATATGCAAGCTTTTAGTATTTGAAGGTGCTACAGTAGAATGTGAGAAAAATAAAGAGTATGAAACTTATCCTAAACAGCTGAACTGTACAAAAGCATTCTTTTAACTCCTATTATCTCACCAGACATTTTTCTGAATGTGCAATCTTTCTACAACTGCTTGCAAACATCTTTTTCTACTATACATGAACAAGGAGAAAAAAGTTAGTTCACAGAAGCTCGGATTCTACTGTTTACTACCCTTTGTTTGCTGATACACTAGGGTTTTGGTTGTTTTGTTTTTTTGTTTTGTTTTTGGGGTTTTTTACATTTTCTGCATAGCCAGACTACTCTGAACTAAATGCACAAGAACAATATACTGATGACTTTCTGTAGCTGCAGTTCCAAAATTATACTAACTACTGCAGCCATTTAAGTAGAATTTCTCAGGATATTTTTCCTTGTTAAAAAGGACTGAAGTATAAAAAAAAATAGCTCGGCTCCAAAGATTCTAGTACAACAGACATTGGTACTCCCTATACAGGCATTTTTTGTAATACTACTAAAGCCACTGTTTCTCTGTACTCAGTTCTCAAGTACAGAGGTGAGGAGTAACTTCCTTCAAAGAACAGAGTGAGGTGGACAAAAAGCAGGAAGAGAATTACTGATAACAGCAGCCCTCAAAGGAGCAGATTAAGAAGCCTCTCTTCCCATTACCAAAAGGAATTCAGTAAACAGAACCTCACAAACACCTGTGAAAAAAGAATTTGCAAGGTAACTACAGACTAGCTCCCAACAAGTTTGCATTTCCACCCTGGATTTTTTTTTTTTTTTTTATAAGTGGATACAAAACTAACTCAACAAATACTTGTGGTTGGTTTTAGGTGGACCCCCCACCCGGCACTTGGCAGGGAGAGGGAGCACACACTTCTTGCACACCTTTTGTAAAATTACACAAATACCTCAAGAGAACTTAATCATCAAACCTCCTTTGATGTCAACAAATAAAAGAACAGACCCTATCATACCTTATACATACAAGAAATAAAATAGTAAATTTTAATTCTTCTATTTAGGTGTGCCTAAGCAGTACAGAAAACTAGGTCATCAGCTACTAAACCATTCTTTGAAATACAAAATAAGCTCACGCTGGCAGAAGCAGTTCTCAAAATTAAATTAAAATATATTATCATTAATATGCAAATTAAATCTTTAAATTTGTAGCAAAACCTAAAGATTAGGGAAGTGGACAACATTAAACCACTGTATATGCCACAATTTCAGTATACAGTAGTTTAGCAATAGCTGAAGAACAGAAAAGAAAAATGCATAAGACTTCCTAGCATTAAATATCAAACAATAGTATCTCTTTTTTAAGTCAATATTAAATTATCAGAGAAACCACTTGCTTTTATTGTAGTATGACCCAGAGAAAAATCCCAGGAAGTAACAAGTCTTCAAACACAGCATATGTACTAACAAAATCCTCACAGATAAAATATAAAAGCAGCTATGCATTCAATATTTGGAAAGTTACCCTAATGCAGTTGAATACAGGCTTACTATCTGATTTTCTTTACCACAAAGACTTAATTCTGGAAGATAAATTCCTCAAGAGGGAATGTAGTCTTCCAGTTTCTGCATCAATTAAATAATTTTATTCTGAATACTGTTGTTCATTTTTTAGTTCATATTAAATGTTAAATAGAAACAAGCACAATAATTTACTGGGAACTTCAATTAATAATGTTAGTTATTAGAAGAATACATATTTTTGTATTTGTAATTTTTATCAATGTCATGTAACTTTTCAAAATTTACAATTTCCTTTGTACCACAGAAAATACTCTTAAATGAGGTTAAATCAGATTTCTAAGCAAGGATTCAAAATCAATAAAAATAACTTTTGATCTGTGACCTTTTAATGTCACATTTGAAGTATAAGGTTTAAATGCGTGATAAGACAAGCTTATAATAGAAACACTGTCATGTACTGGCAGGATTCCCAGCTATATCAAGTTGCATAAAACAGAGATGTAACAAAGCAGCAGCATGTTTCTGTCTACCACCTTGGCAATCTGAATCCAACTAATATGACCCACAAGAGATTAATATCCACTTTCTATACAGTACATAACAGACAGAGAAAGATTAGGATTATAATTATACAAAGTGTTATCTTATTCACCATTTATAATTAACACCCAATTTGTAGCTCTGAAGTCATTCAGAGCACTGGAGACTCTATGGAGTGCCTCTCACATTCACATCACTGCAAGCTGGTTCAGTAATTTTGATTGCATGGGTTTTCTTTAACCATGAAGGGATTAAACAAATGACCCCCCCTCCCCCCCCAAAAATACTTATTTCTGCAAATATAAGTGGGCAAAAATAAAATTATGATAAACTGATTTTGATGGACTATGAGTGACAAATAGCAAGCCATGACATCCTGATTAGGGACATGATTTAGCGGTGGACTTGGCAGTGATAGGTTAACAGTTGGACTTGATGATCTTAAAGGTCTTTTCCAACATAAACGATTCTACAGTTCTAATATTCTATTGATATATTATTGATAACTTTGACTAGTTTCAGACACTCCACTTTGCCCTCTGCTCAAGCTATTATCTACTATGCTGGGGGGTTTTGTTATTTTATTTATTTGTTTAACTTGCTAGGTTTGTGTGCTCAAAATAGGTTTACATTTGAACAAATCAATTAAAGAAAAGTAAACTTTCTAACATCAGGTATGCAAGAAGTATGTATCCAATGCTTGATTGTGAAGCTGAAGATGCTGGTGCTTTAACTGCTAGAAGATGTAGGTAGGCTGGCAATATCATGAAGCATGTCTAGTGACTGAAATTTCTCTTTGAAGATACATAGTGAGCAGAAAGATGTTCTCTCAAACTACAAGAAACAGAAGCCTAAAACCAGTGCTTCAATGTCAAAGAAGAAAAATCCGTGTCATGTAGGATTTTTGAAGGGCAAAGAAAATGAACAGACTTGTGGAGAACTCAGAATAGAGGAAAGACAGTAGAAAAATATGCTAAACAAATAGTCATCTAAGAAGTACAAAGGCCTGTTGGAAGTAATTTTAAAATGGACCTGGCTTAACATGTTAACATAAACAATGTTTTCATTCTTGAAGCATCTTAAGCCCTGTGTCTGATAAATTAATAATCACAACCATCTTTTGAACAGTCAATACAGCAGCATCAACCACCTAACTTCAAAATCATCCTGTAAGTAAATACTTTCCACTTACACTGCTATATTAGAAGAAAAAGAACACAACTTGCTACAAGTTGCACACACAACCCTACAACTTGTATTTAGAAAAAACCCACCACAATTAAATCAATTTAAGTTCTTCAATTAGGAAAAAACAGAAATATTGTTTTGACATTAAACAAAAACCAAACATGAATATGACAACTGGATTATGTAATTATTCCACCTGTGTTTGTACTTGCCTAGCAATACTTTAGCATCTTCCACATCAAAATCTCCATCTCCATCAGCATCATATATCCCAAGCTTGCCTAGAAATGCAAAGAGACGAAGAAGAAAAAAGTAGCGATTCAGCAGTTTGTTGCCAGGACAGTGCTTTCAATGTGCCATAGTTGACTGTCAATGCTAGGTTGTTACCATATTTTTTTTTTTAATGATTTAGCTATACTCTTCTTAACCATATTTTAAAATTTCCTGGAGAATATTACAAATATTTTAAGTTCCTTTCTGCATTTCCTAGACTCTAGACTGAACACAAGTTACTCTTTTTTCCCACACATTTACTTTGGTGCTCGCCGAGAATACTGAGGGAACTGGCGGCGGAGCTTGCCAAGCCACTCTCCATCATCTATCAGCAGTCCTGGTTAACAGGGGAGGTCCCTGATGACTGGAGGCTTGCCAATGTGACACCCATCTACAAGAAGGGCCGGAAGGAGGATCCAGGCAACTACAGGCCTGTCAGCATGACCTCGGTGTCAGAGAAGATTATGAGGCAGTTCATCTTGAGTGCGCTCAACAGGCAAGTGCAGGTCAACCAGGGGATCAGGTCCAACCAGCATGGGTTCACGAAAGGCAGGTCCTGCTTGACCAACCTGATCTCCTTCTATGACCTGGTGACCCACCTGGTGGATGAGCGAAAGGCTGTGGATGTCATCTACCTGGACTTCAGTAAAGCCTTTGACACAGTCTTCCACAGCATTCTCCTAAGGAAGCTGGCAGCTCATGCCTTGGACAGGCATACTCTTCGCTGGGTAAAAACTGGCTGGGTGGCCGAGCCCAGAG